ACAGAGCAATTGCCTCAGCTAATGCTTGATTCTTTGTTTTGATTTGTTTTGATTTGATTTGCTTTGTCTTTTTACAAAGTTTGCTCTTTGAAGTACTTTGTAAATTGATATATGTATGAACACACACACACACATACATGTGTATGTCTCGAGTGGGTCAAAGTGAATTTTTAAGCCATAGTCTTCTTATAGATGGGATTTTCCGATTTCGCTTTTATTACAGCATAGTCTTTTGTGTTTTGTAATTCAACCAAAAGCTTTATGTTTTTTTTATTGCTTTTTATGCTCGTTCGTAAAGTAGAGAGAGCATATTGGCTTGGTGCAGTGTGTTGAGCTACGAGCTGAGAGTTTCATTACCTCTAAGGCATGTTCGTTAGGCGAGCGAGCTGCAGCTGAGCTGCTGAAGAAGACTCAGACGAGCATTAACAAAAAATGTTGGCCTTCTCTACAGGTTGACTACGTCTATTTTGCGGCTGGTTGCACCCGATTGCCATGGATTTGCTGGTTATATACCCTGTCTCAGCTCAATTCTGTGATGGGATAATGAGATGTAGCTCAAGTCACGATGTATTTGGCTATGAATAGTACTAAGTCGTACGAATTATATATCTAATAATAGTCTCTTTGCCAAGGCCCTAAAGAGATTCAAAATGAGAGTTGAATATGTGACTTGCCCTCTCTGATCACAGCTGATTTAGTCATTAATTCCTTGACATAAAGAGCATACATCCAGCCAGCTGAATGTTTGCAGCAATCCTATTTTCGATTCATTTACATTTTACTTTATTTACAGGGTATTTATAGCTCACTACTGACGGCTGTCAGTACTTGACGGCGCTGTATATTCGTCTCTGCTTGTTATGATTACAGTGAAGCGCCGAGATTCGCTTCCACTCATATGTTAATGTGCTGCCCCGGCTCCGGCATATTCTGCATTTCGATTTCGCTTCTTCGTGCGGTGTTTCCTTTGTGAGCACAATGCGAACGCTCGTCCGTACGTATATTAAAAATTTAATTAAATCAACATACATAAATAAAGAAATAATTTTGTTTGACGCTACGCATTGCGCGAATACCCGAATTCAAATACAAAGTGAAAACATTATCAACAACAGCGAGAAGAGTTCCGCAGAGGCGGACCGTAGCTGGGGCGAGCGATGTGCTCTTCTGAGTATTGCTGTCGCTTCCACTTCCACTTCCACTTCCACCTCCACTTTCACTTTCATTTTTGATTTTGATTAACATATTTCTTTTATCTGAAGACCCGCAACGAGGTGCGCGTGGGCGAGTTGCCTTTGTGCACATGTAAGCATAATATGGAAGTTATGAAAATATTTGAAAACATTTTTGAACGACGTCGACGCAGACACATAGCATCGCCTCAAATACTATTTGCACACATATCCCATGATTTATGCTCTGTAAGTATATATAAAATGTAATCAATAGGGAAGTGAATGCAATCAAATTTGGGCGACCAAAAGAAAACTTTTTTAATTGTAGTCCAAATATAGATAGATTCTACTTGGTCTTAGTCTTAGTTCCATCTCTTTATATACCCTTTAATAACATATCCAAAGCCATTACTAAGCTTGACGTAAAGTGCATTATGAGAGCAATAAATAAAAGTGCTCTAGGCGTAAGTGTGCGACTAGCAGATACCCTAAGTCCCACAACGGATTGCTTGTGGAATGAATATAAATTAACGAATTTATTTGTAATTAAGGATTTTAGATCGATTCATAGAAAGTCGGCTGTTCAAAGAAATAGTAGCGCTGCATGTAAGAAGTTGAAAACTAAGATAAATTAATTATATAAAAAATAAAACATAAGATTTTAATTAATTTGTTACATTTTAGTATTATTTTTATGAATCAAAATTGATTCATTCATAAAAATAATACAAAAATGTGACATTTAATAAAAATTTTTTTTATTTTTTATTTAAATATTTATTTTTAACTTTTCTTTCAATGACCCAGCAATGACCCAACATTCTAATCTGAAAATTCGTTTCAAATTGTTTTCAAAATATTGTGAAGTCTGCACTACTATTTTTATGAACAAACACATATATAAAATAGTGAACACAGCTATATATAACACATACGTGTTTGTTCATAAAAATAGTAGTGCGAATTTTGTGTAACCTTTACTCCCAATGACTCCCAACATATAGCCCACAAAAACAGAATCTATATAAATGACATATAAAACGATTTCTTGTTACGGGGCTCACTGTGAACAGGGCATGCTGCAGTCGCTAGCTGACGAGTGGCAACAATCTCAGTTGCCTCTTGTGGCACTTTGTTTATTTTAAACGATTATTCCGCTTCATTAGCGTTAAATCGCTTAGACGGCAGTCTTTTGTATGGGTTTCCATCAGCTTTGCCTTATTTTGTTCTACTTTTTCCCTTTTTACTTTTTTTTTAATTTAAAGGTATTATAGATTATACTTTGTTCCTGGTCCGGCACAATTTAGTGGTTGACCAAATCAATTTGCCATTGATGCCCCAAGTGCTCTTGAGCACACACACAAATCGAAAATCTATATCAATGGAGCTATATAACCTTGGACGCTGGGCTTTAAGAGATAAGAGCGAAAAGCTTTCATCTAGATCAGCTCATTGTAAAGGATTATTGGAGTATGTGGATCAGTTGACTTGATCACTCTATGGCCAGGTCTTCAAGCTGACATAAATACCCGCTTAACAGAGTGTCAACAGAGTATATTCGCCTTGAAGCTATTGAAGCTAGCAGAGTGACATATGGCATATATACTGCTATGGGTATTATTATAGCTTGTTGGAGTCTTGCCGACTGTCACTAGTAATAAGAATCTAGCATTAAATAGCTATATTCATGAGAGCAGCGGCAGATCTATAAGTCGCAGCTGCAGCTTCTGTATAAAATTGGATGCAGCCAGAAAACTTGAGTAACTTGAACAGTTCTAAAGCCTTAAGAGAAAACTGTTTTGAAACACCTGAGTACATGCATGTATAGCAAATGTGAAATGGCGTGGGTGTGTGTGTGTGCGTGCGTGTGCGTGTGCGTGGGTTGTTTCATCAAATAAAAATGTTGTTTACAACTCGAGTTTTATGAAATGTGAAATGCGAGATGTGAACGGCATGGTAACTACCCTAGGCGGCACATAAATAATGGCGAGTGCAGTTTCAAATCGTCCACTAATGGAGGTGCTCAATTGATGATGAGGCAAGAAAATCGCCGCCACTTTATGTTGCATAATATATTGACTTCGCCTCGGCCAGGGCCAGGGCCAAGGCGGCTCAGTTGTGACTACCCCAAGAGGCAGCATGCGAGCGCGAGTGTGTGTGAGTGTGTGTGTGTGCTGGTGTGGGTGGCATGTTTGGTGCTTGCTTGTTGTTGTTGTTGTTGGGTGGGGGCAATCGGCAAACATTCTAAAAGTTATTTGGCAGCTGCTCTTTGTGGAGCATCGTACATACATTTGAGTGCTGTTCCGTTGCTGTTATTGTTATTGTATATTATTATTATTATTATGATTATTGTTATTGTTTTTGCATTTTAAAGCAAATGGACTTTTATGCGTTTTCCTGTATGTGTCTGTCTCCCTCTCTCCATCTCTCTCTCTCTATCTCTGTGTTAAATTAGCCCAGAATGATTTTGGCAGTCTTTTGCTGTACAATTTGATGCTTCTTTAACTGCCTGTCCGTCGCCCATCAATTTTACTTACTGTACAGTCAGGCCTCTGAGCATTCGCGCACATAAAAACACAAATTTCCGCATAAATTACCAGCTCAACCTTTTTTGATGGCCTTTCTTCGTCTTCCGCTGAATTTTCTTGCCACTGCCACTGCCACTGCCACTGCCCCTGCCCCTGCCCCTGTCCAGTTGTTGGTTTGCTTATGTGTAAGCATACGTAATTGATGCGTTTATATAAACATATATTTCTTTATTGAAAGCTGCTCTTCATAATGCCGAAGATTTAATACCCTCGCACCCTCGGCCCAACTCATAGGCCGAGTGGAATGTGTTTTTACCATTTCTTTTTAGACTTAAATTGTATCTTAGCAATGCTTGAACTTTGCCCCAACATAACTGATTTCAAATATTTAATTTCTATGAGATAAGCCAAAAATTATCAAAAGTTGTCTTTCAACTGCTTGTTTTAATTCTATGAATTCCTAAAGACAAATAAAGTTTCATTTTATGTATGCGAGGTGAGTTCAGAAAGTATTGCACGCTTTGAATTTGTGCGAGTAACTTATGATCGATTATCGATGATCGATTATCGTCTAACGATTATCGATTCTAGATGATCGATTTTTGATTATCGATCTTCAATTCATGAATTGACACACAATTTTCGCCAAACTTTTTGAGCACACCTCGTACATAGACACAACTACAGTGTTAGGACGAGGTTACTCATGCGTATGCACATCTGTATATATACACATGTCATATGATAGGTCTATCTGTAGCTATGAAAGCCTAAAGACGAGGCAAATCATAGACTTTTCATCTAGATTAAGTCTGAAGCAACACCATATTTATCTAAGGTGCAATTAAATTTGACAATTATTGCCGGAGATTCATTTAGATGTAAGAGGCTTTGTTATATTTTTTGTTTTATAATGTGACCATGGCGCACAGGTAAGCGAGGGAGAGCCAACAAATCAGCAGAGGCAGCAGCCCAGCGATAAGGCTATAAAATATGATGAACGCCAAGGGCTTGGAAAGTGTTTTACGTGCGTTTTATGACATGACATGACCCAGCCTAGAGTCTAGCCTTGCTTTGTCGAATGTGACCTACATACATACACACATACACACATACACACATACATACATATGTGCATATGTTGTGCCTGCTTTAGTAGCGAGAACTAGAAATGCCTGAGCTCAAGTTGAGCTATTGATGATTAGCGCCGACCTCTAACCTTACGGCGCCTGATAAGCCGCAGCGCTGGAAATGTGGAACTACGCATTGAGGCGTTGTTAACAATGCGAATTTCGTGCTGTGCACAGTCGCGATCCAAATTGGAAGCATCGCACACGTTGAGGCTCGGCCAAAATGAGACTATTGCAAATTGTGCTGCTGTGCCTGGGCCTGTGGCTCAGCCTGTGCCCGTTGCCGGGCAACGCTCGACGACTGCAGCAGCGTGAGGCCAGTGCGGCGCCCGAGCCGGCCCAGAATGCGGAGCTGGAGGTCGATGAATCGGGTCAGTCGCAGGAGTTTGTCTCGGATGCAACGACCACCGCTAAGCCGCTGGGCATTGTGTCCATCAAGTCACGCGCCATCGCCATGGATCGTGCCCTGTGCCAGGAGCAGTCACGCTACCATCCCCACTTTCCCAAGTGCTTTCAGTACTGCAAGAGGCTGGACCACTGGATTGGCCAGTGCTGGCGCGAGAGCTGCCACTGCATCTCTTGAATGCGCCGCAGACAAGCTCCAGTTCCAGTTCCAATTATATTTCCAGCCCATCTTCTGAGGCAGCTTCAACAGCTGATCTAGCTATAGCAGCTGCTCCAGCTCCAGTTCCAGTTCCAGCTTCAGCTCCAGCAACGACTTCTGATTCGACTTCTTCATCAACTTCAGCTTCAGTTCAATTTAGTTCAAGTTCCAGTCTCAGCTTCAGCTCATACTCGCGCTTCAGCAACGGCTTCAGCTTCAGCTGCAGTTCCAAATTTACTTCCAGCTCATCTTCTGCTGCAGCCTCAGGTTCAGCTTCTGTTTTAGCTACAGCAATTGCTTCAATTCCAGCTACAGTTCCAGCTGCAGCTCCAGAAAACGTCTTAAATGCTGTTTCATCTTCAGTTTAGTTCCAGTTATAGTTCCAGCTATGGTTCTAGTTACAGTACCAGCTCCAATTCCAGCTTCAGCGTCATCAACTGATAAAGTCTAATCCAGCTCCAGTGCCAACAAAGCGACGTGAACCTGAGCTCCACATCCTATTCCGGAAACTTTTCCAGTTTCCTGTTCCAGGTCCAGCTCATGCTGCTGTTCCAGCTTCAGCTACAGCTCAGCTGCAGTTCCAGCTTCCATTCCAGCACCAGTTCGATGTAGAGTTCCAGCTTCAGTTCCAGCTTCAGCTCTAGCTACAGTTCCAATTCCAATTGCCAGTTCCAGCTCCATCTCTAGCTACAACTACGGCCTCAACACAAGTTCCAGCATCAGCATCGACTTCAGCTTCAGCTCCAGTTACAACTCAAGCTTCAACTTAAGATCCTGCTCTAGCTCCAGCAGCTGCTCCACTTCCATCGTCAACAGTTCCAGCCATAGCTTCACTTTGCATCTTCGCCCTTGGCAGCTGCTCCCACTCCTGCTGCTCCAGCTGGCGGTCCACTTCTAAACTTTGTACTTACATAATTCTAAGATTTGTTTTATTAGCTGCCAATTACCCACACTTATCTGAGCTCGGCTTCTCTCTGGCGGCTCGCACTTATCTGTCCGTTTGCATTGGCACTAAGCCTTTAGCTTTAGAAATTTCAAGTTTTGCTGATTAAAGATGCAACAAATTGCGTTGGGTTCATTTCCTCTGCCTAATTAATAAGTTTAAGTTTGTTTTTATTTCATCTCTGCCCATTGGCTTGGCGAACTGAAGATGGCTTGATTAATTAAAAGTGAGTCGAGCGTGTTTAAGTTATGCCTCAAGCCAACTTAAACGTAGTTTCAGCTCTTTGATATTGTGAGTACGCCGTATGAACTGACTTGTGAACCAGTTCAATTGACAAATTTGAAAAATGGCACATCTGATTCCTGTGTTTCACTCTGACTGGGCTGGCACCTCTCTATATAGTATTCCGATTCTTTATGTATACTTTGATAAATTCTGAGTATGCCGTATGAACTTATCTGCGAACCAGTTCAATTGTCACAACCGTTATCTAATGGAATGCACCTGATCAAATGGCAAATATTATTCCTCTGCTTGGGCTGCCCCCTTCTATATAGTGTTCAGATTCCTTATGTATACTTTGATAAATTCTGAATATGCCGTATGAACTGACTTGTGAACCAGTTCAATTGACAAATTTGAAAAATGGCACATTTGATTCCTGTGTTTCACTCTGACTGGGCTGGCACCTCTCTATATAGTATTTCGATTCCTTATGCATACTTTGATAAATTCTGAGTATGCCGTATGAACTTATCTGCGAACCAGTTCAATTGTCACAGCCGTTATCTAATGGAATGCATCTGATCAAATGGCAAATATTATTCCTCTGCTTGGGCTGCCCCCTTCTATATAGTGTTCCGATTCCTTATGTATACTTTGATAAATTCTGAGTATGCCGTATGAACTTACCTGCGAACCAGTTCAATTGTCACAGCCGTAATCGCATGCTCCTGATCAAATGGCAAATCTTATTGAATATTTCAATGCATTTCTGTGTTTCTCTCTGGCTCTGGGCTGCCCCCTCTCTATATAGTGTTTCAATTCCTAATGTATACCATAAATATGTATGCATATGGTAAGTTTTTCATGAATTGTCTCAATGGGGCGTGGCAATATACTTTGATATGTGCATTCGTAAGTGTGAACAGAAATAAAAATCCGCACATTTGGCAAGTTTTGCACGAATGTCCAAACCCTTTCACACACATACACACACAGCAAAGTGTGCGTGTGTGTGTGAAGTGTATGTTGCCAGCTCTCTCATATGCTAATTTAATAGTAAACAGTGGCAAAAATATGCGCCCAGTACATAGCGGACGGGAGCTGCCCTGACCGAAAGTGGGGACATCTCTGAATGCGCACACATGTAACGAGTGACAGTTACTAATAGCACACACACACACACACAGCCTCTTTGCCAGACCTGTTAGTGGTATGCGCGCTGTTGTTGTGCCATAGTAAGCACACAATATGCATATTCATGAACTAAGTGGCTGCATTTTCAGCGCTCGCGCTTTTTTTCAAAAAGATTCTTTGTGCAAATTGCAAGCATTAAAAACAAAAACAAAAACAAAAGCAAACACAAAAAAAACCGAAACAAACAGCAAAAAAATGTTTTTGTTTTAGTTGCTGTTTGCATTTTGGTTGTCTCACTTTTTGCTGCTGTCGGTGCGGACTACAGTGCTGCCAAAAAGTATGCACACAGCGCGCCATTCTCGTGTAGCACATCTGACTTACATGATTATTAAGCTTTTTATAGACCTGTAAAACCAGTCTCGGACGGCAATCGATGGCAGACACAAGTGGCGACTGGCGACCAGTGTTGTAAAGCGCGCAAAATGCGACATTCCCCATATGTATATAGTGTTGGCTAACGCTTTTGGATTCAAGTATATTTGTTAAGCTAGTAAGTAAATCAGTTTTTATTTTTTAAATCCTGAACTTGTGAAAATTAAGAATTCCTTGCAGAATGAGCTTAGTTTCGAGAAACTTTACTAAAATATATGTCATGTATAGAAAGAGAACAGGATCAGTATCGGGCTCAAGCTCAGGCTTAGGCTCAACAATCGATTCAATTTAGTCCTATTAATTTTTCTGTCCATCCGTTTAATTCTCCTACCGCCTGTCCGTGCGTCCTTCCATCACTCTTTCTATTTGCCCGTCCGTCCGTCCTTACGTCCTTCCGTATATTCATCCGCGTGTCTGTTCGTCACGCTTGCTATCAATCCAATTGCTTAAATGCTTTCATCTTGGTACCTATTAGAAACTTGATGGATAGAGAGGTAGAAGAGGAAGTAGGGAGCTGAAGATCTGCTGTATAACCTACTGGAGTCAGACGAATATATGTCTAACTCCAGGAGATTATACACAAGATGTTCAGCTTCCTCCTTCCTCATGAGCTATACCAAAATATAGCATATTCCAGCTCTTCATTATTTTTAAAGAGCCCAGCATGGTATTCAGGGTATTTTCTACTCGGACACTGCCGTATCGCTGCTAGCATCGCTAACATAATCGATGCGAATCTAATCAATATCCTTCTGACAATTGTAGCAAAAGCTGTTGAAAAATTGAAGTGAATCTTGTGAGAAGCCGAGGTATTTGACAGTCAGTTATTCTCAGCTAGAAAATACATAAATACGTCTGCATAAATAGTTGAAGTGGAAGGCGTGGAGCGGCTCTTTCAGATAACTGTCAGCCGCTATCACTAGCTAGTATCAATTAAAGAGGAGTTCCAACAAATGATTAGCATCGTTTGACATTAACAAGGAGCGAATGTAGAAGGCCACATTATTAGCCTATTTGATTGATCTGATTGTCTCCCCATTCAAATTTAATGAGCTACGAGAAATGCCAAAAATATATGCTCAAACATGGGATATTCTGGGCTGCTCAAAGCGCGTGACATGGATGTGCGCCAAGCGAGCGCAAAATGTAAAATGTTAAATGGCAAATGGCAAATGGCAAATGCGAGTTTTATGTTTGCATACCCTGCACTTGATGCGCCGCCTAGCAAAAGCTGCCGAGCATGACGATTATGAATGAGAAATCTGCAGTTAATAAATACTTAAGATCTGAATACTTCATAAATTAGATAGAGACTGTGTTGTTATGACACTAGGACAGGGTATGCGCCAGTCGAGCAGGGCTCTGTTTGGTTCAGCATTTTGGGGCCGTGTGTTTTTCTTTTTTTGTTTTTTTTTGTTGTCTTTCTTGTGGGTCCGCTCAACTGATTTAGCTCAATAATGCGACGCGTCTCTCACTTTGATAAGGGTCCCGATGTCAACAAATAATAATGGCGACGGCAGCAGCAAAAACAATCAGTGGCAGGACAGCAAACACGAGTTCGTTATCTTTACCGCAATGTAAACAGTGCCACACGATTTTGCCGTGGTGGCAACGCTGCGCCACTCGCACCTCACAAAGAGCTGGGCAAAGAGCTCGCAGCTGGCAAAATGCAGACAAATTTAGATGAGACACTTTAGACTATGCTTTGCTTATGTAACTATATAAATAACTGCTTTTAGAGTTTATAATGAAATATACTTAAGCTCGTAGACTAGGAGAGAAAAATGCAATGCAAATTGGACTCATGATCATATAAGTGTGATGCACGTAGCCATTATTTTGATAAAAAATTTCTACATTTTGCAGGCTTTGCTTTGGTAGTAAAATGTCAAGTCAACTTCAACAAAAAGCAGCTATCAGCTGTTAAATGGGCTGAAAAATAATGTAGTGTAACCTACTTAAAATTGTTTACCTCTAAAAAAACAACCCTTATATAAACGTTTAAACAAGTCGCTAAAAGTTGACGTTCTAGCTGACAGAGCTTAGAGTTTCCAGCTGTACATCTGTAGAACATACAGATCTAAATAAATACACCATATATAGTGTATATATATATAGAGTATATATATATACTATATACTGTTTGCTGGACATAGTCCCGGGTGCTGCCGAGTAAGCGGGAGATGGCTACCTAGGCGATTCAGAAAGGCTTCTTATGATTGTCCATGGATGCAAAGAGGCGACTAGAAACTGTTATTCTGGAAGTGGACAACGAATAGAAGTATATATTAGAGTAGAAAGTGTCTAAACTGACTCGATCCGCGACATATACATAAACCCAAGTGCAAGCCTCTGGATTCAACACTGTCTTTTATTTACCAAAAATATCACGCCTCTAGTGAACGCATCTAAACAATCTGAACCTTTTATAAACTAAAGTTACCATGCAGCATATGTTGCAAATATCAAGTCTTTAGCTGCAATAGCAGCAGAGAGACAGAGTAAAGTACAGACAGCAAGACTGGCATAGCATAAGTATCGATAGTATCGAGTATAAGTTATCGATAACCAATAATAAACTCGTCCTGCAGGATATATAATGTGTTAGATAGGTAGGGTAAGATAAGATGAAATTGAATCTCTAACTTCAATAAGTGAAATGCCAATTGCTTCTTCACTTCAAACATGCCAAACTCTATCATGAGGTCGCTATATAGGGAATATAAAGAGAATCATTTCACATCAATTTGAGCCCCGACTTTAGATGTCTATGCTGAATATCTCGGATCTTGGAGCTGTGCCCTGCCCTGCAGCTGCCCAGGCACAAGAAGAAGGAGCAGCCAGCAAAGTCTTGAGAAAATTTGTTAAAATTTGTTTGTTGAGGCGTACTGAAAGTGGATATGGAAAGGGGCGACTGGGTATGTAAATGTTGGCCAGATACACGTTTACAAGGCATACATATCGTATAATTCATATAAATTTGCTGGGCACCAGAGCTCTCCCCGGGGTGCATTTAGCTAAACGCAGCGCCGGGAAGCCGGTTGACTACTCGTGGCAATTATAAATTGTTGGAAATAATTTCATTAAAAATGTAAAAAGCGGCATCAAATAGAAAAGTGTATTAATAAAAGCCAAAGTCCTGCTCCTCTTCATGCGGAGCTGGCGCTGGAGTTGGAGCAGCAGCACCGTACTGTAGACTAGCCAATGTTGTCGTACATTTTGGAGTCGTTGTCCGTATCCGCCGTGTCCGTATCCATGTCCGTGTCCGTGTCCAAGTCCGTGTCCGTGTCCGTGTCGGTGTCGGTGTCCATGTCGGTGTCGGCGTTGGCGTTGGCTACGTGCTGCCATTAACTTTGCTTTTGCCTTG